CATCTCTGCCCTCAGCAGGACCTGATCCCAGCCACATCCAACAGATGGGAATTCCTGCCCTTCCTACAAAACCAGCTGCCAGAGGGAGGAAAGCTGCTTGTGCTGGGAGGGAGGAAAGGGCAGGGGATTCTCCCCCTCTGCTCTGCCAGAGCTGCCCAGCCAGCTCACACAGACAGGGGGGGTTGTGCCAGGAGGGGGTTGTTTATCCGAAAGCAAAGAAAGAAAAAGAAAAAAAAGAGCAAAGAAAGCAAAAGAACATATGTAAGAAACTGTTTGTGTGGGAGAAGGGACAGGGATCACAGGGGGAGCTGGACTGGTACCCTTGGAGGGGTGACCCAGACACACTTCACTCGTGGCAGGTTCCTTTTGCTGACAGAATTTAATTTTTCACTCTCATTTTGACGTAATAACACACAAATGACAGTTAATGCCACTCTCTGCCCCAGTGCTGGGTAAAACCTTTACACAAACCTTTGTAAAGCCCTGGGCAGGACCCTGGGCAGGTGAGGCTGGACTGTGCACAGGGAGTCCCAGCTCCCCAGACTGACGTTTTTTAATCAAGAATACACATCAATAGACAAACAAAATGAACCTAATTTAACTCCCACTTTAGCTGCCAAGTTTTCCACAGACTTCACCCCATCCCATCCTAAAAACTTCACAGTTTTGCAGCAGGTAGAAAACAATTCAATAGAAAGATGATGCCACCAGGGACATCCTTAAAAACACATGTAATTTTTCATAAGAAAAAATAAATCAGATCAGGTCTTTCTTTACAAAACATACTTTTACAAATATTTTGCTTAGTTTTTGCAATAAATAGTTCATCAGAGCTAACCAGTACTTTTTATATATATATATGAAAATTGCTTTTTAATGTCATAATCAGTGTCAGGTATTGCCACAACTCCTTAGGGAGGCACAACCAGCAGTGACAACGATTGTGTATCATTTAGCTCCTCATTTACAGCCAAGTTTCTTGTACTTAAAAAAAAAAAAATGATTCAGTCAAAAGTCTGTGCCCACACCTCTGTCTGTGGATTTTTACTGTCTGAAGAAAGCAGCAACAAGGAGACAAACCCAACAGTCCCCTTGTTCTCCTTCTCCAAGGAAGCATTTAGGTCTCCCCTGAAGCTGTTCCTACTCCTGAGTCGGAATCTCCTTGTTCAGAGCCCTGGGGGTGCTCTGGTGTCTCATCCTCAGCCTCATCCCTGGGATTTTGGGAATCTTCTGGAATGACAGTCAGCTTGTCACAAACAAGGTGTTCCTCTTGTGGAAGTGGAGAGAAGGACTGTGGAGCAGTGGGAGGTTTGCTCAAGAACTGTGGGAGAAAAGAGGAAATGAGCCTTAGGTTGCACTGGCTGGACCATCCTGTTTGCTCAGAAATACTGTTACTGTTAAACCAGAGATATTGTTTTCCACACATCAGTCGGTTTTCTCAGTCCTCACAAGTCCCAGAGGGGCAACAATGTCACATCCTCTCTAACATCCTGTTCCAGGCTTGGGAGCAAACTGGAAGTGCCTTTATTTGGAAGAATAACCCCAGGGGTGAGTGACTTCTTTGGGACAGAAACTTCCTTGAAAAAAAATCAAATACCAGGTTTGATGTGAAACAAACAGTAAAAACTGTGATTTGTCTGAGGGGAAGGAGTTCACAGAGAGATCTGTTAAATACCTACGAGAAATGTGACTTGTTTGTGCCACCTCAGAGAGCAGAGACATCAGAGTGGTGCTTTAAATGTCTCCTCGAACAATAACCAAGGTGAGGGAGGGGGATGTGCATGGGGTTCAGTGAGGAAATGGCTTCATTTTGGTTCTGAGAGAGGACACCCTCCTGCCACTGCCTGCTCTGCTGCCAGGCTGGGACAGCCTCCTCTTCTCCAGGCTGAACAATCCCAACCCTCCCAGCCTTTCCTCAGAGCAGAGGGGCTCCATCCCCCTCATCATCTCGGGGGCCCTAAGAAGAAATCATTCTGAATTGAATTTTGCACAAGAAACAAACTGCTCTACCAGGACTCCTGCTCAGTGTAATTAAAAAAATAAACACAGGTGTTAATACTGTTGGACTATCAGGTTTTTCCAGCAAACTGTGATTTGAAATGTTCTGGCACTGACATGCAGTCACATGCACATCCTTGTTTCTTGAGGGGGTTCTGCTGCAGCCCTTTTGTGTCCCCTGTGTGTAACAGGGTCTGTGGCCAGGTGAATGTTCACTGCCTCCTTTGATGTGGAACTTTCAGATTTCAGAGGATCAGAGATTCCCAGAGTGGTTTGGGCTGGAAGGGACCTCAAAGCCCATCCAGTTCCAACCCCTGCCATGGGCAGGGACACCTTCCCCCAGCCCAGGTGGCTCTGGTACACTTGGCCTGGCCCAGGTTTACTTCCCCACACTCTTCACTGAAGTTAAAACTCGTTATTGCACCGGTGACAGAACTCTGCTGCAGGAGAACAAATGTGCTATTTCAAGCCCAAAATGAGGCAGGAGAGACAGAGATCTCAGTTGCTGACCAGTTAAATGGGGAACTGAAGTTGACACCTGTTATTCTCTCACTTTAAAACGAAGGAAAACATCCTGTTTCTGAGCCATATAAAGCTGCTTATTACAAATTACAGTTTGCTGGCAATCAGGTGCAAATGGAATGGGGCAAAATAAAAGAACATCTGAAGGTTTTGGCACCGAGAGCCTTGGGAAAGCAAGTGGTTCTGCTGAAAAGGCTGATTTTCGTGTGTCAGGCAGAAAACAAACCTCTTTCAAGTGTTGTGGGAAAATATATGAAGGGCAGAAAACATGTTTGGTGAGTCGGATCAGGTAAAAAAAGGAGAAGAAACAGAGAGGGACCGTTATGGCCACGGCCAGCATGGATCCAATGAGGACTGCCACAACCACCCACACCGGAGTGACACCTGCAAGAGAGGAGGGGGAAACGATTACAGCTGTAATGATCCATTTCTGAGGGATTCCTTTCCAATGATCACTTTCCCTATGGAATGCCCCATCCCTGGGAGTGTCCCAGGCCAGGCTGGACAGGGCTCGGAGCAACCTGAGCCAGCGGAAGGTGTCCCTGCCCATGGGGAAAGGGATGAGCCTTAAGGTCCCTCCCAACCCAACCTGTGATTCCACGATTTCCCAGTTCCCCCCTGCTGCCCCAGGCATTACCATTGTGGGTTGTCTTCTCACACAGCTCCCTGCTCAGCTCCCCTGTCTTGTTCCAGTCGGGAATCACCACCTGCACCTGGACACAGTAACATGTCCACGGCTCCAGCTGGGACAGGATTTCAGAGTTGTGCTGGGTATCTACCTGGGAGACCAACAGACAGAGAAAAACACCACACATGTGAAGAGCATGAGAGCAGTGACTGGAATAGCTAAGGAATTAGCTAAGGAATTGGCTGAGGAATGACAATTACAGTTACAAGAGTTCTGTGAAACCGCTCCCACCAGTGACCTTCTGGCTGTTTCTAGCAGCATTAATGAAGTTTTAGGCTAATGAGAAGAGATAAATGAGATATGTGTGCAGACAGAAACTGTCCCCCAAGCAAATGAGATCAACTGAGAGCACTGCTACAGACAAACATTAACTGGAGAGGCAGCAAGTGGGATGGGTGAGCAGGACAAGAGGAAGCGGCCTCAAGCTGTGCCAGGGGAGTTTTAGACTGGAAACCAAAGTAGGGAAAATTTCTTCACCAAAAAAGTTGTCAAGCCCTGGCACAGGCTGCCCAGGGAAATGGTTGAATCACCATCCCTGGAAGAGTTCAAAAACGTGTGGATGTGGCACCTGGGGACACAGTTCAGTGGTGAACACAGTGCTGGGTTAAGGGTTGGACTGGGTGATCTGAGAGGGCTTTTCCAGCCTTCACAATTCTGTGACTCTGTGATCCAGACAAAAGGAAAACCAAAATAAGAGAGAAAAAGGCTTCTGGAGGCTGTGAGATGACTAACAGCAGAACCTGCTCTTTAGAGGCACAATTAGACATGTCCCTGTAAGTGCAGAGTAAAGGAGTCCCTACAGGGTGTCCTGTTCTGCAGTAACAGAGCCTTTCTCAGCCTGAGGAGACTCCAGAGCCAGGTTTCCATCTCTGAGCAATCACACCCTTCAAAAATAAATTGTGAAGTTACACAGTCTCTGCCCTTTGCTTCTTTGATCCCTAGAAAATCACTCAGACTCCCCCCCTGAAGTGTTACAGATCCTGACTGCAGTTCCTGCTTCCTCTGGCAAATCCCCCTGAGTTTGCACCCCATATGCAGAAACACCTTCCTTTCCAGGAGGAGGGGAGTTGCAAACCTGGGAATTGCAAAAAAAAAGTCTGCTTTTTGGGAGATGATGATTCCTCCTTTTCTGGAACTGAACTGTGCAGGGTAACAAACACAAATCAGAATTATACACAGTGCAGCCCCATTCTATGAAAACTGTGCTGATGTGAAAAGCACTAATTAGACTGTGACTGCTGTTTGCTGGTCTGAGGCTTCCTCTTTTCCTGTAATAGAACACATGATCCTATAATTATTATATTATTTATGATCTTTCTCCAGGCACCGTGTATGGAGAAGCCTTTTGGGCTGAGTAACACATTTGCCTGTGGAAGGGACTGTTCATGAGAGGGAGAAAGTGAATTAATCAGGCAGAAATTGGAGAGGTGAGCACAGTTAATGTAAGGCCTCACCCATCTTGGGGGACTCAAAGCCCAAAGTTTCCTGAAGAGGGAATAAACTCTCATAATGTAGCAGTTACTTGTAATTATGGAAAGAGAAAATTCCATCCATGCTACTGTTTAACTACACAGCCACCTGCCCTGTGCTCTGAGTGACTGTTGTAGTGACTGGGCTTGATTACACTGTAATTAGTAGAGATCTATTTGTACTTCAGCCCTGTCAGAATCCCAGAATCCCAGACTGCTTTGGCTTGGGAAGGACTTTAAAGCCCATCCATCCCAGCCCTGCCATGGGCAGGGACACCTTCCACCAGCCCAGGTTGCTCCAAGCCCCGTCCAACCTGGCCTTGGACACTTCCAGGGATCCAGGGGCAGCCACAGCTTCTCTGGGCAACCTGGGCCAGGGCCTCCAGGAGCTTTCAGAGCCTCACCAGGATGGTGTTTTCCCAGGAAAAGCACAGATCAAAGTGCCCCTACCCTGGAAGCAGAGGTGGGGGCTGTGGTGCTGCCTTTCTTCCAGTACAGGATCCTGTAGCCCCAGGAGCCGTAGTATTGCCTCAGAGGCCACCTGTCCTGCTTGTGCTCAGCAAAGGGGCCCCAGAAATCCACGTGCAGGGCCCCAGACTCCGACTCCACCTTCACCTCAGGGGGCCCAATCACTGCTGTGGGGGGGGAAGAGAAGAAGGAGGGGAATTCAGCTTCACATTCGTTCCAATTTGACATTTTTATACAACCCACATTTGAAATAAATTTATCTGCTGGAAGAAAGCGACGTCTTTTCACAGGTCAGGCATAAATAAATCCTTTCCTCGTGGAGAGGTCTGGAAAGGGGGTTGTTTTTTCGCAGTTAAACAACAGACACCAGTGCAGACTCCATTCCCCATGCCCCGGATTAGCCCAGTTCCCTTTTGCCAGCTGTGGTGACTCCTGGGAGAGGAAGGACTATTTCCATGGTTATTACTCACTTCTCCTTCTGGGCCAAGCTGTCACAACATCTGTTTTTCCTCAGCAAACCCTCTAGTAAAGTGTTTCAATGGGGTTTTTTTCTACTGTGATTATTCTGAAAACCAGAAACCTTTGAATTATTGCTGTGTGTGTTACTGATTGTGTTCCTTAAACTGAAGGTTACGCCCTTGCCTCCTGTAAATGGCTTGTCCTTGTTATGGCATCGTGGCACTACCTAAATTATTTCATGAGTAACTCATAGTTCCATAAATCCCTTATAATTCCAGCAAACTCTGCCTTGGTTGCCTCTAGATGCATCTCAGGGCTGTACATTCCTACAGTGCTCATGAATCTGTTCTTGAACTCAGGAACAATAACGTGAGGATGGTCTTGGTGCCCCTGGTTTTCTCAGGCTGATCCTACAGCACAGTGTGGAATTCCTTACACAGGCACCAGCAGAAATAAGAACAGAATCCCAGAATAGTCAGGGCTGGCAGGGACCTCTGGAGGTGATCCAGTCCCACTCCCTGCCCAGGCAGGGTCACCTGGAGCAGGTGACACAGGAACATGTCCAGGAGGGTTTGGAATGTCTCCAGGGAGGACACTCCACAGCCTCCCCGGGCAGCTGTCCCAGGCTCTGCCACCCTCAGTGGAAAGAAGTTTTTCCTCCTGTTGTGTTTTAGTTTCATTGCTCCTCACCCTGTCCCTGGCACCACTGAGCAGGGTCTGGGCCCGTGCTCTGACCCCGCTGGGAGACACTGGTGTGGGTTGATGGATCCCCTGGGAGCCTTCCCTTCTCCAGACTGGCCAGGCCCAGCTCCCGCAGCCTCTGCTCAGCAGGAGATGCTCCAGACCCCTCAGCATCCTTGGGGCCCTCTTGGAACCTCTCCAGTGGCTCCTTGTGTTCCCTGGACTGTGGAGCCCAGAACTGAACAGGACCCTCCAGATGTGCCTGACGGGGCTGAGCAGAGGGGCAGGATCCCTCCCTGACCTGCTCCAATGCTCTTCCCAATGCTCTCCAGGATCCCATTGTCCCCCCAGGGCACCCTGCTGGATCATGGTCACCTTGTCACCCCCAGGTCCTTCTCTGCAGAGCTCTCTGCAGCAGGTCAGGTGAGCCCAGCACAGAGAGGAGTCACAGAATCTCACATTCCTTTATTGTGCCACCCTCTCAGATCAGCTGTGGCAGCACCACAAATCCTCCTGCCCTCCCTGGGGATTTGCCCACTGCCCAGTGCTCCCAGGCTTTCCTGCCAATCCTTTTAGTCCCTGACTTTCCCACTCAGGATTGAGCTGCCTTCCCAAAGCCAAGCCAGCTCCCAAGGCCACAGGCTCTTTCAAATATATGTCAAACAACACCCCTGTCAATGATTTACTGGTTTTCTCTCCACTCTGAGAACCCATCCACACTTTTCATTACATTTTCTTCTGGCTGTAGTTAATACCTTCAGAACTGTAATTTTTCCACACCATATTTCAGTGCTTCTGTGCTGGGCAGGTTAAATTGTGCCACAATTATCTGCTTTAAAGAGATAACCAATAAGAGCCTTTGGAAAAACAACGCTGTTAAATGTAAAATTCCACTCTGAAATCCGAGAATGATGAAATTCAAGCGAGTGGAGGTGGGGCAAGAAAAACCCCATATTTGTAAAGGTTTTTCTCCAAGGTGAGGTGGAACAGAAGCTTCCTGTGTGATTTTGTGTTAATGGCTGTGAGGAGAAAAAAGCACGGGGTAACATGAACTAAATAATCTAAAATATTTTCATTTTTGTTCATGATTAGAGTAAGAATGTACAAACCACAGGATGCTCAGTGGTAAAACCCACTCTCACTGCCAAGCCCAGCAACACAATTAACACCTGTGCTGTGCACTCTAATCAAGGCTATGCCTAAATCTTCCCTCCCAGAAGAGTGTAAAGCTTCACTAAGAGAATGGCAATATCGTGTACATATTGTGAATATTGGGCAACTAAGACTTCTTGACTGAAAATCAATCTTTCCCTGTGAAATTGGAGTTTTTTGAATGAATAAAAAATGAAAAGAAATCATTTTGTCTGGAAAAGCAATGAGGAAGCAACCTTCCACCAGCCCAGGTGGCTCCAGCCTGGCCTTGGACACTTCCAGGGATCCAGGGGCAGCCACAGCTTCTCTGGGTAACCTGGGCCAGGGCCTCCCCACCCTCCCAGCCAGGAATTCCTTCCCAGTATCCCACCTAACCCTGCCCTCTGGCACTGGGAAGCCATTCCCTGTGTCCTGTCCCTCCAGGCCCTTGTCCAAGTGAATTTATTTAGGCATATAGGAAGTCTGATTCCTTGAAGACAACCTCTCCCTGGCTGGAAAACTGAAATGATCCTTATTTTAAGGGAAAAAAACCCCACTTTATTAGAAAATCTCCTCAGAAGAGATTGCAGGTTACCAATATCTAACAGTGAACCTACTCTGCTTTCTGCCTTCAAGTGTCACAACTAGGATGTTCCTGGTGATTCAGTCCAGAAAGGACCTGCACCCTGCAGCCGCTCTCCTGGCTGCCCGGGGGAAGGGCACCCGAGCTGCTGGGGGCACGGGGGAAGGGCAGGGGGGCCTTACTGTCGTGCATGGGGCTGAAGCTGAGGGTGGCCCAGGGCGAGCGGCCCCGCCCCGCCCGGGCCCGCAGCTGCAGGGTGTAGTTGCCGTACTCGCCGAGCCAGGACACGTCGCAGGTCGTGGCCCTCAGCCCGCTCCGCAGCACCTCGAACGCGGCTCCCGGGAGGACGGCGCTGCGGGGAGAGAAACGCGGTTATGGGAGGGGCAGAGTGCAGCCCACTCCCTCTCGGCCCCCCGCAGAACAGCAAAGCTCCGGGGACGACCAGTTAGGGCTCAGGAACATGAACACACACATCCACTGTGTAAGAACCACACAGAGGATTTCATGTGCATCCACAAAGCTGTGAGAGAGGTTAAAACTCTGAGCCAGTGAACAGACGCCCCTTTCCTGACAGTGGTGACAACACTCGATTCACCACACAGGAGTGGTCAGAGGAGCCTGCAAATACTCAGCCAGGCACTGCTGCCCAGTGGGGACCTGATCAGAGCTGTCTCCAAGATATGCACATATGGGGAAGCCAGAGAAAACAGAGCCTGACAAGTGACCAGGAGCTGTTTGTAGAATAGAATCACAGGAGGTTTGGGTTGGGAGGGACCTCAAAGCCCATCCAGTGCCACCCCTGCCATGGGCAGGGACACCTTCCACCAGCCCTGGTTGCTCCAAGCCCCATCCAACTTGGCCTTGATAATACATGATATTTAATATATTATACTCTTTATGGTCTGCATCCAAAGTCCACATAGAGAGGAAGTGATCAAAAGGTAACAGCTACCAAAACCCAAAAAAATCTCCTTTAAACTAAGCATGAACAGAAGCCTCCAAGGAGACCTGAGAGCCCCTTCCTGTGCCCAAAGGGGCTCCAGAAGAGCTGGAGAGGGACCTTGGATAAGGGATGGAGAGACAGGACACAGGGAATGGCTTCCCACTGCCAGAAAGCAGGGATAGATGGGATATTGGGAAGGAATTCCTGGCTGGGAGGGTGAGGAGACCCTGGCCCAGGTTGCCCAGAGAAGCTGTGGCTGCCCCTGGATCCCTGGAAGTGTCCCAGGCCAGGTTGGACGGGGCTTGGAGCAACCTGGGATGTGGAAGGTGTCCCTGCCCATGGCAGGGGTGGCACTGGATGGCTCCATCTGAGAGGTCAGGGAAGGAGCAAATGCTCAGCAGGACCCAGTCTCCTGAATCACAGGTAACAGCTACATGATAAACCATGCACAGAGTGAATAACATCCATTGGTAAAAGGTGTTTCCCGTTCCAAAAACAAAAGGTACAAAGCTGCCCTGGGTGTGAAGGCACAGAAAATGCCTCTGCCCTGTTCTTAGCCCAGCAGAGAAGCCTCTCACAGGCTAAAAGAAAGGGGCAGCTCCTCTGAAGAGGAAACAAATCACAAACACACAGAGCTGTAAACTGTGAATCAAAGAAAGCAGAAGCCCCAGACCCACCTCCTGTAGCGCACAGTGTAGGTGATGTTCCCCCGGGGGAACCTCGGCGCCTCCCACTGCAAAGTGCTCTGCAGATTGACCGAGGTGATTCTCACGTTCCTGGGCCTTGGCACCCTTCCAGCCACTGCGGGAGCAACCGGAACACACAGCTCAGGGAGCAATCGGAACACACAGCTCAGGGAGCAATCGGAACACACAGCTCAGGGAGCAATCGGAACGCACAGCTCAGGGAGCAATCGGAACGCACAGCTCAGGGAGCAATCCAAACACACAGCTCAGGGAGCAATCGGAACGCACAGCTCAGCTCCTCCGCCCCTCCTCAGCCAGCCCAGGGAGCAATCGGAACACACAGCTCAGCTCCTCGGCCCCTCCTCAGCCAGCCCAGCTTTAAACGCAGCCCCTGCCTCAGGTGCTCCTTTCAAACCAGGCCTCCACATCATTAATTCACAGCCCAGCCCTCCCGTGCCCTCTGAGCTTGTGCAACACAAACCAGTGACTTCCAGTAAGTGTTTATGCCAGCACCATTTACTGGGCACGGCTGGCCTGGCACTGCCCAGCACCCGGGGCAGGAACTCTCCCTGACACTGGCAAACCCAAACGTTTGGAAGCACTGCTCCAGCAGCACTATGGGAACAACAGGGTGTGGGGAATGATAAGCAGAGATAAACCAGAAACACCTGTGAAGGTGAGTTATTAAATACAATAATCATTAATCAGCACTACTCACAAGTGACAAGAACAGTTGTTTTCTTTGCTTGGAACTGAATAAAAGAACCCCCAAAATAGTGTAAAGTATCGATGAACAGTCCATTACTATTATGATTTAATGATCTTTAAATAATTGCTGGTATTGAAACTGAAATAGAAAAGATTCCAGCTCATTATTGCAACATAAATGAGCAATGTAAACAAACCCTGCCAGATGAGATCAGGCCTTACATGTCACAGGTGTCAAACTTTATGATAGATGTAGTGAGATAAATAACACAGGTAATATGTCTACAGTTCACAGAATTATCAAAGTTGGAAAAGAACTTCAAGGTCAGCCAGTCCCTAAAGCATGTCCCTAAGGGCCAGTGCCTGCAGAAATAAATGAAATTATTGTGCCAGTTACCCTCCTTTGGCAGACAGGAGCTTGAAATCTAAATCGGGTTTAAATAAAAACTATTTCAGACTCAATCCCTACAGTGTTGACCTCACATCCAACAAATCAACTCAAAGACACTGCACATCACAAACACAGAAATTACAATCACAGAAGGGTTTGGGTTGGGAGGGACATTAAAGATCATCTCATTCTACTCTCTGCCATGGGCAGGGACACCTTCCACCAGCCCAGGTTCCTCCAAGCCCCGTCCAACTGGTACTGGGAAGCCATTCCCCTTTTTTAAGTCCCTCCAGGTCCTTGTCCAAAGTCCCTCTCCAGCTTTCTTGGAGCGCTGCCCCTGCTTTCAGGATGAGGTCTGAGACAGGCATGTAAATTGCCAGGAAAAGGCAAGGCTCCCTTCCCCGCAGCATTTCCTACCTGAACAATCTCCAGGTAAATTGTTTTATTGCGCAATGTGGACGGCAAGATACGAAAAAATACTTCTGAGGGTTTAAGGTTTGTGCACAGAATCCCAGGATCCTTGAGGTTGGAAAAGCCCTCCCAGCCCATGGATCCCCCCTGTGCCCCATCCCCACCTTGTCCCCCAGCCCAGAGCACTGAGTGCCACGGCCAGGCCTTCCTGGGACACCTCCAGGGCTGGGCACTCCAAACCTCCCTGGGCAGCCCCTGCCAAGGCCTCACCACCCTTTCCAGCAGCAAATTCCTCCTCCTGTCCAACCTGAGCCTCCCCTGGCACAGCTGGAGGCCGTTCCCTCTCCTCCTGTCCCTTGCTCCCTGGCAGCAGAGCTGGCTCCACGCTCCTGTCAGGGACAGTCATTGTCCTACAGTGACACCGAGCCCTGTCCCGCACAGTGACACCGAGCCCCCGGAGCGCGGTTTCGCCCCCACACCCGCCTTCCCCGGCCGGGACTCGCACCATGTCCCAGCCCGGGCAGGACCGTGCCCGTGTCCCAGCACGGACAGAACCGCGGGTCAATAACGCCGGCGGGTGCCCCGCACGCCCCCCGGGCTGTCCCTGCTGTCCCCATAGCGCACACCCGCCCGCTCCGGGACTCTCGGCTCCTCACGGCACCGGCGACCCCGCCGGCTCAGGCGCCCCTTCACTCCCGCCTCCCCGGGGGCACCGCCGCCCCTTCCCCGCGGCGAGGCGGGACCGGGAGGTCGCTCCGTCCCCTCCGTCCCTCGCTCCAGCGCCGGCGGACTCACCGCAGAGCAGGAGCCCGCCGAGCAGGAGCCCGCCGAACAGCGCGCCCCTGAGGGCGGCGGCCATGGCGGCTCCCGGCCCCTCCCTCAGCAGCAGCGGGGCCGCCGCGCCATCGCCGCGGGAGCGGGGCCGCCCCGAACCCCTTCCGGCTTCCCGGCGGGGCGGGGCGGGCACGGCGGCTCCCCGGGCGGGGGTTCACCCGGGGCACCGGGGCTGCTCCCTCACACACCGGGGG